CTTCTTATATCACCAAGGTTAGAAAGACCGTCTGGGCAATCAGTGTGGGTACCCCACGTTAGTGATGTTACCTGTAATATTTCTCAACTTGGTCGTAGCTGTGCCAAGTTTTTCGGTTCCAAGACCGTCTTATATCTCTGAAGCGCAGTGATAGTACAAGTATGAAGCGCAATCAAATTCATTTAAATTTCAGCTGATGAAGCTTATTTTAATATTTTCGTCAGTTCTATATCGTCATCTTTGCACATTTTCATTTCCTCGCTGCATTTATTATTGTTTCCATAGTTCTTATGGTTGACGATGCATCACTTTGCAATCAGCCTGCTGGTGATCCTGGATTTCATTTCCCCGCTTTTTTCAGAAGAAATTCTAAGTGTGCCATTTTCCCTTCACCGCTTATGTAGTCTTCCAGCTCACCTGCATTATTCCCTCCACAGTGCGGCCATCACTCGTTAAAGGACAATTGTATTATAAAGGGAACCAGACTTCGGTGTAGAGTTACTCAAAGTCGCACGCAGCTGAGGTCGCATCTGCTGCGAATATGTCATTCGCTTCTTTTGCATTGACATACGCTGATAATTGCGTCTATCTTGGACAAGAAGTGAGCATGCGCCCTAACCTTCAACTCGAGATTGTGTGTATTGCAACGGGTATCGAAACAACCACACATGCAGTTTTCAGCTTCCTAGTTTCTGTGGTTGCTAAATTAGAAGTGGGTGACAAAATTCGAACGTAAATATGCACCGACACCGACATCCTTCCGTCTATGCACATTTTTGTACATTGACGGATGCCGAATTTGGGAGTGTCTTTCTCTGTCGTGAAAGTAAACCTGAAACGTGTCAATCAAATGTAATACCTTAACTACTCGTTCCTTTAAAGCAAACATCACATTTACAGGGTCTTTTTACTATAATATAATATGACAATAATATAATAATAGTAATGTCAATAATGATGACAGCGATATCAATAATATTAACAACAGCGATGAGGGTGTTGTATTTATGAAAGTTTTTCTATTTTAGTATTATAATAACACCAGGAATACCAACCCCCCCCCCTTCTCCGCCCTCGGTATCCCATTATAATAATAGTGTTGCATTTATTGGACTTTTATACTATAATATTATAATAATAGTGTTTCAAAAAAAAAAAAAAAAATTGTGGGAAAAGAAATTATATGACGCATTCGAATGATGTATGTTGCATGAATTGTATTGGCTTGCAGTTCGAATCGGAATCACATTCCCAGCAGCACCAAACATCAAACATGCATTTGTTTTGTGCACCATACGGATATGCTATAAATAGCAAAATGGTTTCTGGTCCTGGCACACTTCTGGATGACAATGATGATGATGATGCTGCTGCTGCTGATAACGATCACTGGGATGTTTATATTTCGGGCACTTTAACTGGATGGTAGTGCACCATACATCATACACCTGTGCACACAGACACACACCCCATTTTATTGTTACATGCTATTCCTGATAGCAGTAGGGACAGCAACTGCGAACGTTTCCCGTAGAAGGCGCTTGAATTAGCTCTGTTGGCTACTTCTTCAATACATAAGAACAGTATGAGTGAATGTTGACAGAGCAAGTGTTTTTCAGGAAGTACCTCTGGCGTTTTTTAGTTCTCCGAATTCCATTGATACTTTGGTTAAGTGTAGTTCACAGCGTTGTTCTCCAGTTATTCCGATAACTTTTCCAGTGGCTCTGTCCAATGTTGCATCATCTGTGGTCAGCATGCTTGCGATTTTAGCGTTTGATCTGTCTTTTGATGGGATTCCTTGCAAACTGTTTCTCTTTACGAAAAGCTTTAGCCGTTGCGAGATGTCAATAGTTTGTGTTGCTTCTTCTTGAAAGCCGCCCTTGCTAGGAGATCAAAAGTAATGCTAAGTAAAACGGAGAGAAAAAGGGAAAATTTAGTGGAATGATCATGCACCGTAGATTCACTAATAGTCAGTATTTACCGGCGGTTAAATGCAGCTACCTGTAGTCATCATCAGAGAATTCTCCAGCCTTGTGTTACTAAGGTATATGCAGGCGGAGAGATTAACAGAGGATGGTTGCCTTAGTAGGTTTTTATTGAAACGGGCTTTTTCTCCTTCCTAGTAACCCCAACATTTCAGTACTTGTGAGGGGTAGTCCTTTTCGGCACATCTGAACAGTTTCTTTTTAGTTTGGCTCTAAAAGGGCGCTGGTTAGCGGAAGTAAGGAGAGAAAGTCGAGTCTTAGCAAAAATTAATTGTTCTATAGGAAAGTTAATGAAAAATTTTACGTGTAATCGAAAAACGGGTAACCCACCATTTAGTGATGCACATACATGAACAGGTTGTGGCTACTAACTGGAGATATGCAGCTCAAGATCGAAAGGACTAGCGCAGCTGCCTAGGCCTATGCGAGCATTTCAATAACATCACCAACAAGGATTATCTTCACTCTTTGTCCAGCCGGCTTTGATATTCTCGATATTATCGAAAAACCTTTCCGAACAAGTCGGTTGCAATTGATCGTAGTGATCAACTCAAAAGCTATTTTTTCTTGTGGTCCAAGCGAAGTTTACTTATAATGCGAAAAAATATCTACTTTTTTTTATTGCAGTAGAAACTTCTGATGTAATTTGAACTGAATTTTTAAGGAGCAAGAAGAGAGGCATAAATTTAGCGTCCATCGAGGATTTTTTTTTTCGGAACAATTCTGAGTGAAATTCAGCACTACCCTCACGAGGACAAGTTTCGTCGCTCTGAGGCACGTTTTAGCGCAAGCGAGCAGTGAGTGATGTCACCTCTCACTGGCACACACATGCACACTAAATGAAATCAAATTGAGGCTACACTCTGCCGAATCAAATATTTCGCTCAGCATTTTGTGCTTTGACATACCGCATATGCCACTACACTACAGCACACTTTAGACTCATTTATTGAGGCTCGTTCACAGCCGTTGGATACTCCTGGACACGCAGTGCCTTCTCCTTTCAGGAAACCCATTACAGGTCTTTGTTTCCATTCGAAAAATTTAAAGATATTTATGAGAGTTTTTTTACTTTCCAGAAGGAATTAGTACTTACTATCACCAGCATCAAAAACATCTGGCCAATCAGTGTGGGTATCCTGTGCTTGTGATTTTACTGAAATGATCCCTCGCACCTGGCCTGGCTATTTCTGGACCTTCGAAACGGGGTTGCGCGCTTGCGCTTGCTGATATCTTGTGATTTAATATAGGCGTTCAATGCGAGGATTGTCAGATAACAGACTTTTGCTACAGTAGCTGTAAAAGATTGTTGGTCGCGCTGGTAGTTCGAAGGTTCGCTGCCAGTGAAACGGTATTTTACCAAATCATGCACAAATTTCGAGCCAGCTGTTGAGGTGGCCATTCC